CGGAGTGCAAATACAGGCCTGCTTTTGAGATGCCGCATACCCAAGGCAACACACAACAACATACCAACCTTAAAGGGCGTGGGAGTGAAGGGGTTTGCTGGGGACAGACTAAGGAAAAGACTGCTGAGAGTCTCTGGTTCCTAAAATCATGTGGGGAAACACAGATATAGTTCTGCACACGTTGCTTCCAAAACAGAAATCAACCCCCCCCCCCCAGCCTTTTTTGGATTACTGTGTGGGTGTTTATGACTCATCACTCTATACAATGCAGCATGCACATATAGTCTCCATACAGTCATATGCAGCCACACGTCAAGGCACTTGACAATGACAGTGGAAAGGAATCATTATCTCAAGGCTCGAGTAGACTCGGTAAAAACCCAAGCTTTAAAAAGAACAACATTACCTTGTGGTTGTGTGAGTTGGAGGATGGCGCTGGACTCAGTCTTTCGTGATTGATGATGGGAGGAGACTGTTTGCGAAAAAACACAAGACGCAGAGCACACAGCTGAGACCCGCGACTTTGAAACATGAATTAATCGCTGCTCATGTTATCAGTCGCATATATCTTTTATCAGTTTTCTGAAGGTGAATTTTGTCCTTTTCATCCATCCATTTGTTTAGAGATTTGCTTTATCTGAGTTAGGGAAGTGAGGGGGCCCATCTCAGTTGCAGGCAGGCTGACATCCCGGGCGGTTCTCCATCCATTTATTATCTATACCAATTACAAATTACGATCTGAACATTTCAACGTCTTTTTATAAATTCACTGATGTGAGCAGTTACAATGCTAACGGAGACCTTTCAAGCTCTTTTTATTTGTTAAAGTTGCACAGTCCAGTAACTATCATGAATGTTTTCCTCATGTGAAAACTGGTGGGCAACAGCAATTTACTGGTGAATTTCCTCTCTGGTTTTGTGCTAACTGGACGTTCCTGACCAGCAAACTGTCCAAACCTCTGCTTTTATCGTGGCGCTTAAACTTATGATTACTTACTTATGAATAAATAATTAAGCGCATTTGAATCTCACCAAGTCTCTTAGTTTCTTATGAAACATCCCAGCTGTATTCATTCGTACACTGCTTCTGTATTTTGGATAGTTTTTAAAAGTTTTTAATTCAGATGATGAAATAGTGACATTTTTCACATTGCGGTGATCATCTGAGGTTCTAAACAGCTAAACACCAAATCCCAACCAGATGATTTTCAATTCTTTCGTGACATGTAAAACCAAATGATTGAAAGAGTGCATGCTGGCTTTTTCTTTGTAACCGTTAAATACTAAAGGAATCGCGGTCTATGCTCATGTTTGGTTGTTAGGGTGCTTCTTATACTGTACCTGAGACCTGGGCTGTGCGGACTGGACCAGGAAGACCACGGTGTCTCCAGCCCTGCGGATGGCCTCCACTGCCTGCTCATGGCTGGCATCTGTTAGGTCCACACCACTCACCTTGGCCAAAAGGAAACATATTTTAACACTCGGCACAAGGCCATGAATGTGGCCGATGGAGATCAGGACATTTCAAAATTATATGTGATTTTTTTCCCCTCCCACAAGGATAAAGTGAAAAAACAACTTTGGACCAAGTTTTTCCTTTTAATTAAAAATACTTAGTAGTAAATTCCATCTTCCTTTTCAGACCTTTTTTTTTTACAGCCCGTAGATGGACAGAAGAGAAATTCTAAGTGAAAAAATGAGGACAGCTGAGCCTTTTATTTGTGTTTTCGGCTGTAATGTATTTTAAAAAATGCTTCAAAACAGAATTAGATTTTTTCCTGCCTTCAGCTGCCCAGTGTTGGTAAGTCTGTGCTCACAGAAGCCTCGGCTTCTGTCCATGCCTTGGCTGATGGGAGTGGAACCTGACATGGTCCTCTGCTGTTATAGCTCATTTGCCTCAAGGTTCTACACATGTTGTGCATTCTGATATCACTCTGCTCATCCCAGATGGAGAAAAATGTTATCTGAGTAGCCCTTCTGCGAGCTTAAACCGGTTTGGAGGCTCTCTTCTGGTCTTCCTGAGATCAGCAGCTTTACACCCACAGTCAAATCTCACACAAAGGGGTCTAATTTCCTCCCCACCCAATGATTTTATTCATTCATAAGCAGTCCCTCACTTTGGAAATTCAACAGACACCACAACCAAAACGAAACTGCTGCTCCAGCACACATTCGCTCGTCCCATTCTAAGGCAGATACACACACGGCACACGCAGGTTTTCAATCCCACATTTCATCACCCACACACACACACACACACACAAACGCACAATTACTTCCGTTCCATTCCGAGTACACGGGTCTCCATCTTTGCGTCTGCAACACACCATTACACACGCCGCGTCCAAACACACACACCTCTAGTATCCGGTCTCCAGTCCTGAGGGTGCCATTATGCGCTGCCGGGCTGTCGGGACTGATGTGCTTAATGAAGACACCCCTCATCATCTCTCCACTGCTCAGTCTCCGGCCCATGCCTCTGCCTCCCATTATGCTGATGCCCAGGGACTGGCCTGGCGCTCGAGTCAGCAGCACACTAAAACACACAGTAGGACATATTCGCAAATATCGGAGAGCTTGATGATCCTGATACAGACACACACACACATACACACACACAGCTACAGCGATGAGTGCATGATTAAAATAGTTCTGAGGCCAAAAACAGAATAGTAATCCAAAGGGTAAGAGTTTCTTTTAGGCTCCCATTTTTCACTGCTCAGAAGTGCTTATTGAGTTTCGGAGATTAAGGAGAAAAACAATGGAATGCAGTAAAAACCAGGGAGCCACACAAAAGATGCAGTCACAAATGCATTAAATAAACCTCTTTTTCTGAACCTGGTCATGGGAAGTCTCCTCGGTGGCTCTGTCTTGGGCATAATTTGGGCAAAGGTGCAACAGAGGAACGATAACGGCTAAACCAGAGAATCGAGTTCTAATGCACTCGGGATGCATGGATACATATAAGTATAATGCTAATTAACTCCAGCCTGTAGGTTTGCTGACCCCACTCAGGCCAGAAAAAACATCGACTGGCTGAAATTGATCTGATGTATCAGGATTGTGTTGCCTAGTTTTTGCCTTAAAACTGACAAAAAGAAGTTTCCATTTACCTTATATCAAATAGTTGGGCCATGTAAGCCCAGAAAAGGGATCGAGTAATTTAACAGACTGAAGTCTTTCTGCACAAATTTTTAACGACTCTCCGTTATGATTTGGTTATGATTAGGTTTTGATTAAAGTCTCTGAATGATTCGTCTCAAATCATCTGTGCTGCTTCAACTATGGCTGATGTCCCACCCCTCTTGAGAATTCTTAATTCTCAATAGTTTTTAAGGCACAAATTAACTAAATAAATGCCAGAATAAATCAGCATCTGCCTTTTCCCATGGGCCAGATTATTATCCAAGACGAGAGTGATAGTGTCAGCCATGAATGCTGGTGAATGCTCAGAAAGACACAGAAAAAAGATAGACAGGCACGGGAAAAACTTGTAGGATGTAAAGCAAATAGCTTGTTCACTTACCGTTTAGGTTGATCCCAAGACACTGCGGCCTGAGCGTGAAGCCATCCGTCTCTCTCGTCTGTACTGTACACCTTTATCTGGACTTCCGGCTTGGGTGCTTTCACATCTGCCCTTAGTTTGTTCCTGTTGTCAGGTACAAGATCTATGAATTTTTCCTCTTGCGCATTCGTCTGAGGTAAAGGTTTTGGAATCAGCCAGCTGGTGGTTAAAAACAAAAAACAAGACATCCAGGATGAAAGCATTTGCATTTAATCTTATGGGTATTGGGTCTCAAGTTCTCGAGTAAAGTCGATGTGAGCAACTTTTTCTGATGGACCTCGAGAATATACGCATTTGGCGCTAGTTAGGTCACAGCTAGCCGGTTTCCTCGGGCTCATGCGCATGTGGATACGTTGGGTACCTCTGTTTGGGGTGTATGCACCATGTGTCAGTGTAGGAAAAGCAAAGGCGTGGAGAAGGAAAGACTTTTTCATGAATATGTTTAACGGTGAAGGACCGTAATAAGCCCAAGGATGTGAGTAATAGCAGTGCTATATGCACAGTGGGAGAGCGTAGCCAGTAAATGTTCAGAAGAGGGCAGAACAAATGGTTCTTACCAGGGCTGAAAGAGAGTGGCGAGGGAGAACGGAACCAGGCAGGGAGGAGAAGCAAAATGAGGGGAAGAGCAAAAGAACCGAGCGAGATGACAGAGGGTGAGATGAAAGACAGATGTAGGCACACGCAGACAAAGAGATGGAGACGTGATTGAAAGATAAGAGAGACGAAAAAGGCTGCAGAGGGAGATGGGGATAGAGGGAGGGAGGAGAAAAGGCAGAGACATAAAGATGGAGAGAAAGCAGGGACAGACAGAAGCGAAACAATTCATTTTCGCTGACAGTCAGCACTGAGATCCATAAGCGAACGGCTAAATATAACCCAGAGATTCGACGCTGGGAGAGGGCTTTTGACTTAACCACGGAGAAGAGAAAAGACGGAGTGGAGGAAGCGCACACGCTGCTGGCTGCACACTGAGACACAAAGTTTCCTCATGGATACGGTTAATTAAAGTGACAGATAATAACTCTGATCATTTCGCTGCTGGGTAACCGAATGAAGTGTTAAAAGGGGAAATGAAAGAAAAAAACCTCAAAAGCCTTCTTTAAACTCAGAGTATGGCTTTGTCACTTGTCTGAACGCATCAGCTTGTTAAAAAAAAAGCTCGAGGCTCGACGTCTAACAAACTCTTACATTGCTCTCCGGGGGTAGAGTCGGTCTTAGGTGACCATTAAAAACAAAGGGGAAACCTTTTGCGTTTTGTATCACCTTGAGTCTGAGGCCGGGGAGATGGTCGGGACCGTGGCCTGGCCTTTGAACGCAGCCTTGGGCAGAGCAGCTGCCCTGGGGGCGGGCGGATCCGGGGTGGGGGCCTTGAATCTCAGGGAAGTGGAGGGTCTGAGTGAAGAGGAGGCCGGGGGGTCGCGGGGCGTGGCCGAGGCCGCCGCGGGCTCAGGAGAGAGAGGTGGCAACGTGGGTGAGAGGGAGGCGGGGTCAGTGGAAACGGAGGCCAGCGGGGGCAAACCCAGACGAGCCCGGTGCGCGTCCACCTGAGATGCTGGTACATAGGTTACACTGAAAGTGGGGAGAGGTGAAAGCATTAAAAACATGAACCACTTTTCTTTGTCAATCTTTTTGTATATGCAGAGTACTAAGAAAGATCCCTCTGAACAAAGCAAGAGGATTTTTATTTGAAGGTGTAGGAGACCTGTTTGTGGGTTAAACGTAATTAAACTAAGTGTTCTGTTTGTTAATTACAATTTACAATTTGCCCACGTGAATTGTGTTTGACATTCTGGAGCTAAACTTTTCTGGTGATTCTTTTTATACGGTGCTGTTATTTTTTGTGTGTGTGTTTTTTCTTTAACTCAGTCTATTTCAATTTGGAATTTTATTGAAACGGAGCACCACTCCGAAAATGCTCAGAGCAGTCTGTCACAATTCTGATGAGTTCAGGTGTGCGACAATAGAAACAGAAAAAAAAAAACCTTGCGTGAGAGCGCCGGAACTGGGAATTCACACACGTGTAATGGTTGTCAGCAACCGAAATGAAAAAGAGGTGCAAAATGAGCGTGGGTTTGGTGTGTTAGGGTGTCAGATGTCTTCGGAAAGTAGATTCTTCCAAGAGCAGACCGCCAAACCTTATCCCTGATAGCATTTGGTAGCTAGAAACCGTAACAGCTTGTACTGACATTTCCTCGTTAACAGCGATGGTTATGCAAAATGATATGCTTCAGGAGAAGAACAAGTTTGAGAAGAAGCAAGAATCTCTACGAGTTTGAAAAACTGTTTACAGACCTTGGAGTCACTCTGTAGACTAATGGTGATTTGAAAATAATTTGGGTTGTCCTTAGCCGGTAAAGGTCAATTCATATTGGGCTGAAGTGTCCCATTTTTTCTTGATGAGACACAAAGTGCACAGCCATGCTCTGGACTATTGAAAGCGGTTATACTTTGTTTGCCATGACACCTGGAGGAGCATTTCAGTGGTAAAAATGCGAGATAAGTGGAAAAGTGGCATTCTGAGCCAGACACAAACCCATTTTTTTTTCTTTTTAAATCTTGAAAAATGCAAAGCCACGTTGGTGATGTGTTTACAGACAGAAAACTGATCACCCAGTAATGGACCGATGTTTTACTGTGGACTCTTTCGGTGAAAGCACGAGTCTCAAAACAGGGGAGTTCTTTCCATTTTGAAAGCACAAATGTTCAAGGTTGGTCTTGTTCCATCTGCAAAACATTTTTATAACAGTGCTCACTCACAAATGAAAGTCAAAAGGAAAAAAAAGGCTTTCACCCTCTAAATGAAACGGTGACCGCAGGGGCTCAAATCAATTTTCCACTCACAGATTTGAAGTACTGTATAAAAAAAAATAAAAAAGGACCACATAGAGTGCATCCATGACCTGTTGAATTGTGTTCTCTTTATTTACTTAGAGATTTTGCATGACAATACTATGAGTTCTTATTTAATTTTTAGGTAACATCTGTTTTATGGATGTGCACCTCTCTGACCAGAAAAAGTGAAAACATATTGATATTTCATTTAGCATAGAAGATCAATTTTTCTTTTGCGGTAGCCTGGATCTATTCTTGCAGCAATACAAATTTAATATGTGCTGGACATTATTAAAGCCCACTCCCACCTTCTTATTTCTTTATTGGTATAGTAGACTTGTGACTGTGCTGAAAGAGCCCAATTCTTGGGCTTCTCGAAAATTCTTGAATTGTTGGAGGCTTTGGAATATGAAAATGGAGGTCCTCTGCAGTGAGCTGTTGTAACTCAACCATGTGGGCAGCCTGTCTCGTCACAGAAGAGGCAGTCTGATCGTGACAAAGCCCTCATCCTTCGACGTGTCCCATTCTGAAGCTGCCAGAGCAACTCATCTGTTGCCACTTGGTCTTACGTTCTCTTAAGTGCTGTCAGAGAGAGGCAGAGCCAGCATGTGTGTATGGTAAACGTGTGTTTGTGTATGTGTGTTAACAAGTGCCAGGGAAAAGGGGGGAAAATAAAAATCCATGAATGTGTTCATCTGTGTGCGCGTGTGTGTGATGCAACCGCGAGAGGCTCTTTAAAAACACTTATTTTTCAGAAGTACATTGTTCAAGGTGAGATGAGTGATGAATTATTCAAAGATATTTCCCCTCGCAGGATTAAGGTGTTTTTTTGGAGGTGAGACCATTGAAAGACAGTTTGTGTGTGCTTGTGCGTGGGGGTGTGTGTTAATGTGCACCTTTAAAAGGAAAAGAAAGAACCGCTCAGAGAAAGTTGACGGGGTGTTTTGGAGGGTGGAAGGGTGGCGTGGGTGGAGCATATCCCCAATCAGCCAAACAAGCAGTCTCAATGTGGAGCCATAGGTGCTGATGTTATGACATGTAATGATTTTACCCACTTTCCCTTTGGGCCGCCTTGAAAATTTCATCATATATTCTGAACATGACTGTGTTGAAAATGAGACGAGACCATTTGTTGGTATGTGACTAAGTGAAAGTCATACCGGTGACTCTGCACAGAGCACATATCTATGTCTATCCTGGACTCTATGTCGCTTATTATGCTCATTCTAGACTGTAAAGGTCTTGAAATGTGAGCGGAATTCAATTAGTCTCTCTGCAGTTGATTGATTTCTATATTCCCAAAAGATTGATTTTTTTTCCCCCACCTTCTCACCAAACTAATAGCTCTTGTGATTTCCCAGTGTAGATGTGTTTAAACTGACAGGACAAAAAGTGGAGAAGTGAAGGGAGTATAAATAGCTGTGCTAAATGAGTGACTGGCATCTATTTTGAATATGCCACTCATGTCCTACTTTAAACCCCCGGAGTGTCTGCTGGCGGAAGTGACCAGAATAATAAAGCATACTCGGCTGGTACTTTTGGTTGGCACTGGAGGTTTAGGTTAGGTGTTTGAAATATACACTTGTTTAATACTTTTTGTGTCAGAAAATGAGAAAATAGTGAGTCATCAGCCTAAAAATGCCAAAATTATTATGTGACAAATGTGATTTAGACAAGACTTGCTTTCAAATCTGTTTATCGGGCATGAAAGAACTGTGTCTAACAATGTTTACATCTGTATTTAACAGTTCCTATTTTGAGTAGAGAGTTCGGCTATACTCAATTTTACGGTAAAAGAGAACACTGCACTCATGCTGAGGGACATTAAACATGCTTTTTAAAAAATATATCACACGCCATTTTCCCAGTGATGTGTTTCAAAGAGAGGTCTGTTCATCAGTCACTTGTATTTTTCTGATGTGGATAGGCTTCTTAATAGAGAGACAGACAGTATCTAAAGCTATGAATTCATTTTCCGATGAGTTTCTTCTGCCTAATTAGAGAGTTCTCATAAGTGAAGGCACCATCATGATGAAACAACACTATAGGACATTGCTCTGCTTATTTTTTTCTATACCAGGACATAATTTACTGATTTATGGCAACAAGTCAATAAAAAAACGTGCATTTAGCTTATGTATCAAATCCCTGCATTTTCAGCTTTGTTTCCCCCGCATAAAAAAACACTTAAAGCCTTGAACTATTTTTGATGTGCTTCTCTGCTCTGCTCAAATGAATACGTCACAGTCTGTGATTTCAGATGCTAAATGTTGTTGCCCCCCCCCCCCATTGCTCTTTGAGCATTTCTGTGACATGTTAAGTCTTTGTTTTGTCACCTCCTTTTCTAGTGGGATTTGTCGATTCATGTTTCATCTTTGAAAGAGTCCTTCCCTTTTCCCCTTGCCTGTGTATTATCTGGTTTAATTTCCTTTGCTGGCCTACCCTGGGATCGTGCTGATTGCTCCCACCTTTCTCTCATCAGCCTTTTCGTCACTATGCACGTTTTCTGTATGTCTGTGGTTTGCTCATCAACATGTTCATCTAGTCAGTGCTTTCAGTCTGTCCTGTTAACGAACCAATCTTCTGTTGGAGTGTTCCTATTTGAATTTTTCTTGAATTCCCAAGAATCCCAGAAAGAATAGTTTATTACTTCTTATTTTTTTCCCCTTCGCCTTTTTCTAAGTCTGCCCTTTCAAACAGAAACGTATCAAATTTAACACATCAGCAAGTCAGACCTCTTATGCCTAAAATTAAAAGGAAAAACAAATACACAAACGTCACCTTATACACGTAAATATACTGTAGCAATATGCTTAAAAGATCACAATCTTGTTAACAGAGAGTTATTATTGGTTCTGTTGCTGCTATGGAGCAACTTAAGTGGCTGCCTTTTTAATTTTATTGCAATGCCTTCAGGCTTTTGTTTTCTGGCTAAGTGACCATTGACTTTTCACATTGCAAATTTGGGGTCTTTTGAGGGCACTGCATAGTGCATGAGAGCTACTCAATGGCGACCTCACAATGTCCAATAAACAATCAGGAGTGGCAACGCGCCAGAGAGTTAGGACTCTCCGGACTGGTTAATTTGGAGAAAATCCATATTTGCTTAACTTGAAGCAAACTTTTGTACATGCTAATCTTACATGCAGAACAAAGTGCTTTAGTGAGCAGTGCCCAGTGAGACTGATAAGCACGCTGCGAGGCATTTTCTCATCAACCCCACTCCCTTTAAATATAGTAACGGGCCGAGCTTCGGGACACAACCACACGCCGACCAAATCAACATGGCTTGATGTGTTAGCCTGTGTGTTTTCAATGCGCAATTAGTCTTTTGAGTGCGTTTAAAGGAGGCGTGCGTTTGTCCTCTGGCCTGGCACCAGTGGGGCAGTATTCTTGTGTTGTTGGACATTTGTGTTTTGCAATGAACGTGCTCAAAGAAAAACAACCACAGGCTGTTTTTTGAATACCCAAGCAGAGAAACAACCCACAGTATCAATGAAGCTGCTGCTTCCCTTGATAAAAGAATCAGACTATGTTCTGATACGAAGTTATTTTGCTTTGACACATGAGTTCTGTCCTAAAATCAAAGCTAAATAGTGTACTTTTCAGCTACTAAAAGAATGCATGCTTTAAAGCCCGGAAGAATTCAGAGTGGTGTGGTGTTAGAAGTGGAATACTCCCTATGTCTAAGCCACAGTGGTCCCCATCTTGGCTATATAGCTAAAGTAGAGGGTACATCAGTGTATAGTCACTAGCATAGTCACAGTAACCCTATTTGTAGGTATGTGCTTTAAAAATGTGCCCAAAACACATAACTTCCAACAATTTCTTAAAATGGCAATGGATTTTCTTAAGTAAGGGTCTCTTTTATATGGGCTTATACTTATTTATGTGCTCATAGCTCAATACTTCACTAATTAAAACAGCGAGAGTGTACAAGAACAAGAACAATATCATTCACAGACTGAGATTTAAAATTCTGAAGGGAACAATAAAGGCCCGGACAGAATGTACATGTGGTTAGATAATAACCACCAACCAATTATACATTTTGAGTGCTAATGTAGGGAATATGTCTTTCCCATGATTTCAATGTTTAACGTCAGCAGAAAAATATTGCTTGTAGCACTTTTCCCGTGTTTTAATTCTATCATCTCACCTTATTTCTGGCCCTGTAACAGAGTGTCGGCGGAGCATGGCTCTGGCCTGGGCACTGGTCAGGTTGGAGGTAGGCTCTCCATTGATGGCCAAGATGGCATCCCCCACACCTAGCCTGCCATCATGGCAAACAGAGCCCCCCTGGACCACACTGCGCACCAGTATGCCTGAGCCGTCCTTGATCGCGCTCACCGACATGCCTGCCAACATGTGCACAACCACGCACACGAAACACACACACACACACACAAACACACACACACACAAGCACAGGTGAATAAAGGGTTGGCTAGGACCACTTTGTCTGTACGCCAGACAGACAGACAGTCGCCCAAACGAACACCTGACAGTGGCAATAATCACCATAATCGAGACAGACACAAGGCAGATTAGCAAACTGCCAGGGCCACACACGCTCGACACTTGCACGCCATCGACCTCCGCATGTACACTCACACAAAGTACGTGTGGACGGGGACACGCGCTCACACCCACAGAGGACACAGGTGACTGGAGGGCTAACACATGCCAGTCGCACAAACACCCGACTTTGGCATGATCAATTTGGACACTAGGTGGATTACGACACTTCATTAATGCAAACAGGCAGAAGTAGGTAAGTCAGACATCCGTGCCCTTGTTTGCACCCCTTACGCACACACCGCAGAAAGGGAAGGCTGTCACATAGTGGGCAGTCTGATCTAAGACGTCGGCAGACGGCTTTTACTATCTAGTATTGTTTCACATCCACAACACTATGGTCGTATATGAATTTGAAGATGGTCAAAAAAATGACTTTGTGCTAATTCTTTGGATCAAATGAATAGTTTATTGTTTTTTTTTTTGTTCTTCTTTTCACATTCAAATTACAATACAGTCATAGTGCTTGGAGTACAATCAGCTGGAGACACAACCACTGCAGCGTACAGGACAAACAGACACATTTCAAGGTACATGCCATAGATGTCACGCTGAACGTTTCAGTGTCCACTTGTGTTGACGTTCTCACACAGTTAAGTATAACCGATGAAAAATTCCCATTTCTTTATGAAAATGTACTTTTTCTAGATAGTTCCAAACACGACTATGCACAACAGATTCACAAGAGCTAGTTCACACAATTCAAGAATAGATCTTTTCCTCTCGTGATATCTAAGATAAGCTAGGTGAGAAATAAAATACCACATTTGAAATGCTTGTTCTTTTAAAGCCTCCTCTAAAAGCTGTCCCAATTCTCTAGAACAAACCAACAATTAACTTTATTTGCCAAAACGAGGCCATAAAATCATAGTAATGATGCAAGCCTATTAAACATGGAGCCTAATAATAACTGGAACTAGCAGAAACAAATACGGTACTGCAGACAGGAGAGTTCTCTGATGAAGTTGACCTGCCAAATAGTCCAAACTATTGTTACTGTATTAGGTTTACAAGGTGGGCATGAGGTTAAGATGACATTCTCCTCAACTTCAAACTTTTTTGCGATGGCAAATTGCATCATGCAAACATTTGAGCTCCTTGTGTCAGACTTTAAGATCAAGGGTGAACAATGTGATAGAGACTAAATTTTACAAAGAGATTGTTGATCATGTCAGTAGAACAAATTTACATGGCAGAGGGACGAATAACTGAATAAAACACAAGATTACGGAACCACCGCTCTAAAAGCTAAACATGATCAGACAATATGTTCTCCTAATAACTCAATACAGAGTTCTGCCATGGAAACTGGAAAGAGCATTACTTTACATTACAGAACCAGAAGCCTTTTGAAGGAAGAATGAGTAAAAACAATCCAAACAAGAGCTAAAAGACAATTTGCTGTCAAAAACAAAAAGGCCTTTATAGTGTTAGTAAGATTCCACAACAAACGTTTTGCTTTAGGCCCCAGTACTTCTCTTCACTGTTATGGAGCGTAATGAATAAACTTATGAAGCCATTTCATACTGTCATTTTGTAAGGGGTGCCCATACAATGGCAAAACCATCAGAACACATATCTTCAAACTCAGACATGAAAATAAAAAGAAAAGAAATCCTAATCTGCAAAAGCCCAACATGTCAATTTCCAGAAGACCGTGCTTCATTTAATATTTCAGCAAGAGGACCTAAACAGTTTTAAACAAGCGAGTACCAAAGAATGCAGAGATATTGTGACCTTGATTTTCTCTACCACAGAAATTTACATAATTTCAAACTCTCTTTCTGTCTCTGGCACAGACAGATGCACATACGCATAGTGAGGTGCTTTATCTGAGCGTGTTTCCAGAATACAAATGAGTTTGTTTCCTTATGCTTTTCACAGTGCCTTCAGATAAAAGTGCAGGATTACCTTGCACCCCCGCTGTTTTCCTGCTAGGTTCGAACAGCCAAACTTTTGCATTGTATTCTCATCAACTGGGTATAAAAATATAACTTAGATGGAAATACAACTTAATGCACTGTACAATATAACCATGGGTTTTAATCTGACTGAGACATTCTTTCAAAAGACTTTAAATATTCTTTCAACCCCTTATCCATTTCTCACACACATACACCTGCACATACACACACACACGCACACAAACATACGTGTCGTTATTATCTCTTCTCTGAGGCAAGAGGAATACATTACGTTACCACTCCTCTTCCGGGCAGTCGTCATCATCACATCCTATTAGTGTCATTACCGCCGTGCCTGCGATGTACACACACCAAGACACCATCATCATGAGAAAGACGGACAACATACCAAGGCTACGGCTGCCCCGGACTACAGTGATTGTCCTCTCAAAACTTGTGCGGGGGGGCAAGGGTGGGGCTTGCTGGCTGTGGTCATCTTCCATGATGCCAAAGCGGCAAAGCAGCTGCTCCTCCTGAGGGAGAGAGAACAGCACGCCAAAGAGTGAGAGCCTGATGGACAAATGCACGAAAAAAAGTCCGGTTTCCAGGTGACTGCCAACCGGAGTACCAGGACCATCTGAGTGGTGCTGTACGCCAACCAATCAATAACAACTCTGATTGCAAGAAAAAACAGGGTTAATGTGTAAATGTGCACAAACTTTTTCAAACGGAAAACATTTGTTTCTCCTCTCTAAATGTGTGCCATCTTTTTTGGCTAAAACTGAGCGGAATTGTATGTATAACAGCTGAAGTGTGTGTGAGTGGACAAGAGTTAAGCAATTCTAATATAACTCATTAAAAAGGGACTAAGAAATATCTCACAAGCGGCAAAGGTGAAAACCAGTACTTAATAATCATGGTATTCTGCATCGTCTGAGCAGAAGAGGAGAGAGACCATCCAATTTCCTATTAGAACATATTTCAATATGTGTGGATTTATATATAAATAAAGGTTAGAAAGGTTAATGCGCAACCATTATGATGACAGATGTCAAAACCAGTTCAGAAGGGATGACTATGCTATTGATCGAAGTGTGAGAGAGTGGGTGCTAAAATGGTCTACCTGTAGACCAGATCTGTCACACACTGAAAACGTTTGGCATACTGAGAAGTAAATAAGTAAAATCCGTTCCAACCTATAGCAATTGCTTTCCTTAATCCCCAAACTTGTGTTAAAAGACGTGGTGGTCCCACCAAGTGGTGAACAGGAAAATGTTTTCAATAGTGGAACGAGCATTAAGTAAAAGAAAGCAGCTGTGAAGAAATGTACTTTCACATTATGTATGTTTGATTTGCATTGTTGCTATTTTAAGGCAAAAATAGAGATTAAATATCCAATCAATGCATTCTGGTATAGCTATTTCATACGGCATCAGAACTTTTGAAGATATTAAATTGGATGTCAACAATGACACATTAGTGGAAACCTAACAAACAACAACTGCCAATGAGCAGCATTAAAGCATTTGGTAGTTAGAGAGGACCAAAAGAACGGCTGAGCCTATTGTCATGTTTGTTTTTTTCCAAATCAACCTGCTGGTGGTGCTGGTGGAATGATCTGTGGGTCATCAAACAAATTATATAAAATTCAGGATCTGTGAACTTCAATGGTGCTCATCACTGAACTACTGCTTAGCAGGATTAATCTGCAGCGCTACTGTGATTATCTGTTGGAAATATACAGTGTGAGGCCAATGCTGATGACAGTGTGCACAATAGAGGTGGGTTTAGCCACCATAACACCAATAAATAGTGGTGACAACAAACAAAAGGGATTTATGTTGTGTCCAATAAATTAAGGAATGTAACGAAAAAAAAGCTATGTCAGATAACTATTAACTTTATAGGATATTTGTTTCAAACCTTTTTTTCTGAGATGTCCCCCTTCAGAATCCAAAAAAAGGTCTCTCCATATTATTCTCCTGGTCATCTCCCCCTGCAGTGGCTCTACGCCTCTCAAGGAGGGCCCTCCTTTTAGCTTGAGAAACACTACTAAGGCGAAGGCCTTTGGAGAAATTCTAAAACGTAAAACATGGAGAAAAGGAGACTTCTAATATACCCTCGGGCACTCAGTGAAGAAAAAGGCCAATGACGGGCTCTTTGAACTTTTACAGTGAGCTTACATGAGGGAAAAAAGTTTTTTCCTCTGGCCAGACAACAGTTCTTTATGCATATTCAAATAGAAAATTCATGGCAATTAAGGAAAGGCAAATGGCAAAAAGCTGACTCAGACGAGGCCGCAATTTAAGCCTTTGACACCGAGCACTTTCTCTATACCTGACCCTGTGATACTGATACAACCGGCTCTTAACTGCCCACTAAAGAAAGCGAACAAAGAGAACAGGCGCTGACATGGTAATCTTCTTTAGAGAAGCTAAAATGGCCTCCCGTAGAATCTCAGGCGTGCCTGATGACGACGAGGAGCTCTTTCTCTGTGATAGACTGTGCAATTCTGAGCGCTGCACTGTTACTGAAGCTGTTTCTACAGAGACCCCCCCACCGCCACCCACCCCCCGAGTTTAAATCATTAAGCAAATGCTGATATATGATGGAAATATCCATCATTCTGAATGCGTTCAGGAACCTTAATGGGACTTTTTCTAACATGGTGATGTAGATTCTCAGTCATCTAGGCCATAATAATCCTGAGAATGAATAAAGGCAACTGGACTTCTCCTTCTGTAAAGACCCTCTCTCCTTAAAAACGGAAACTCCCCTCCATGTAGTTTAGAAATGAAGAGGCCTGTCGGAGTCCAGTTGCTTTCACTCAAACTTAGTTCTGACAGTTTTCATTTTCAACAAATGTCTTTGTGCACGTTATCCATGGAACAGTTGGTGCTTTAAAATAGATATGATTAGATATAATATGGCAATATTAGTTTGTTTTCGTGTTTATTGTCGTGTTTTATCTTCAGAGCCATTCATGAGCCAGAAATTATTCATTCTCACATGAACCTAAACAACAACAGAAAACAAGTCACTCTCCACAAAGCTGAATTTCCCTTCGTCTGTTTAGTTTGGAATGACGTACCGTGTAGCTCGGCTGGGTGACGCTGCTTTCCTCTGAGTTCCAAGTCGTGCTGAAGCTAGCCTCGGCTGCCTCGGCTAGCAGGCTGACCTGAGTGTGGCTTTCGGTGTCATCACACGAGGCCCTTGTGCTCCTCTCTGAGATGGGTGTCAAGCCGCCGCACAGTTCCAGCTAAGGGTATAATAATATTCCAGAGTTAAAGCGTGGGGCAGTCGGGGAAAAGAAAAAGGCGGGGGGGGGGAGAAAGAGTGGGAAAGGCTGAGCAAAATGTCAGCGTGGCTCAAAAATGAGTAAATTCACCCTGAAGCAAACAGGGCTACAGAAGGTGACTCTAAATTAGACACCCTGCTCTCCCCCTCTCTCCCCATCTGTACTGTGGTCGAGGATTGTGTTCGTCTCTCAGCTGCATTAAAAATGCAGTGGGCCCGTAACTGGATTCTCTGTTCCTTGTTACCAAGCCACAGGCCACAACACACCGGAGTAGAAATACAATACTTTTCGAGATTAGAAAAATGTATCAAACTAATTATGTCAAGTATCTTCGGAAATCTAATTTTTCTAATAACGATTTATCTAACAAAGCGCAAACCTAAATGCAGAGAGCTGCCTGTGGGAAAACGCGTTAAATAAGCCCTCACCGCTTCAAGAGGAGTTACGAGGGTGAGAAGTGTATTCCCTGTAAAACGTTGACTTCGGACACAAACACAATAACGCTGAAGTATCTGCAGTTTTTTGGTCTGCTGCATGTATGTGTGTGGTGTCAAGGAGGAAAGACATTAGCAGTTATCTTCGGAAAGCAAACGTTGCAGCCCATCAATCTGGACGGAGCTTTAAGGTTGTTTCAAAACAATGTGGAGTTCATTATTCCACAGGGAGAAGCTGTATTTTGCAAGTTGAGAACAGCCGAGACAGCTGCCAATCATCCCAGGAGCGGAGGTCCCTGAACATTCAAACCAAGGTCAGAGCGAGCATCGCTGCGAGAAAATGCAAAACACCCAATGAGCAACGTCTCAGACTCACCCATGCCTCGGTTGGCATGTGAAATGCTAAAGCGCAGTGGGATAAAGGCTGAACCGGCACGGCTTTGTTTGGACGGTTTTACAGGTGACAGACTCTTCTCTTTAAACAGAATACTGCAGAACACCATAGCTCGGTAAAGTCGGCAGCCTTGGCCTCATTGGGTTGAGCGTGAAACTGCAATATTAGCAAAATATTCTGACAGCTAAGGTTTGGCTGAAATTAAATCATAAAACTGTACAATGATCCCAAGCACTGCGGCAAATCTGCGACACCGTATCTTAAAAAATAAAAACTGGTCTGGTCAAAAGTGTGAGTCTGTTTAAAATGATCAGGTGGGACAAACGCCTGGAAACCTGTTTGATTTGAAGCCAAATTTTTAAAAAAAAGCACAACATTCTTCTCCGATGATTAGAGACTGATAAGTCTTCCAGAAAATTATATATTTATATTATTAGAAATAATTCAATAATACCGGTGCATGTCTGATTAAATCATAATAATTGTGTCATAATTAGATATTGTTTCGTTTAGAGCTTTGTTGTGCCTAAAACCAATTTATAACTTATTATTGAAATAATCCTCACTTACTGGAAGAGGTTTGGCCACACCAATGCGGACAGAGCCGTAGCCAGTAGATTTTAGGACATGCACGGCATAGTCCAGACTGGAGCCCTCCAGATCGGTTTCATTAACGAACATCAGTCGGTCACCAGGTAGTAGGCGGCCATCTTGATCAGCGACTCCTCCGGGCACCAAGGACCGGATTATCAGAACTGTTTTGGTGGCATCCTCTGGATCCTGGAGGTTAAGGTTGGAGAGAGTGTTTGTTTTATCAAAAAAAATAATTAGATCATTATATAATTATATATGAGATAACTGATAGATGACTTCAGGTTCAACGAGGAGATAAGGTGAACTCATTAAACTATGGAAAGTCAATAGGCCAATTCTTCCCTAAAGGGAAGACCGTTATCTAACCTAAAGGATTTAATGTTTAATGGTTAAGAAGTGGACAAAAAAGGTGGTAAGAATTTTAAGCAGTATGGAAATATGACATAAATATACCTAAAATATACAAATACAAATATATTGCCCTAGAATATAACTAAATACATTCATTCTTCTTGCAAAATCCATGAACCCCCTTTTCTGTTTCCCTAGGGTTCCCCCAATCACCCTTCCTCCAGTCTGTCCTATTTGCTGCGTCTGACCTGGTAGTCGAGGATACTGAAGCCCAGTCCTGAGTCCCCCTTCTCCAGCTCCACCACTTGAGCTTCTTTCTCCCACATGGCCAACGGAGGTGACATGGGGGGCACGCCACGCTTGGTAATGTCCTCAGCTGTGGGACAGGGAATGACACAACCCTGGTCCAGCTGGGACATGCGAACAAACGAGGGAAGACACCCGAGAGTCATATCAAATGTGGATTATGTATAAAACCGCAGCATGTGAAGCAGTTTTCGACTCTTCTCATTTCCACCCGTCACCCCTCCTGTCCCCTCACCTTGTCATTGAATTCGGCCAGCAGCTCTTTCAAGCTGAGACGAACATCCTCATCCTCATCATCTTCCTCTTCGCTGTCAAGAACTGACGGGGGCAAAACGCGCGAGCATGTGAGGTATACATGCACCGGGAGCTCCTTCAGAACGCTGACCACCTCCTTGTGTGTCAGTCCAATGAGAGGGATCCCATTCACCTGTCAGGAAGATATGATATGTGTTATGTGGTCAGAAAACAGCATCTTACATGCCTACTTTTGGTGACACCCAGTGCAGCCGAGTCCAATGACAGGACACACAGGAGCCATGTTTCTCCCCAATGCAAAACAACAAAAAGCAAGTCTCTTTATGTATTTTTTTTACCACATTTTACCCTCTTACTTAGATATTTTGCAGGAAAAACAATACAAAAGTGAAAATCAATAAGGTCACATCAGCAACACCAGGACAAATACTTATGAACATAACAACTCAAACTAGAATGAAATGAAAAATTCAGAATAAACATCAAACTATTTACTGGAAAAAGGGTACACGTGCATTCACACTTTAGAGAATAGTGTAACGACTATAGATCAAAACTGACCAGTAATACACTCGTTCATTCACTGTCCATACCGCCTATTCCTAAAAGTGTTGCAGGGGAGCTTATCCCAGCTGAGGCAAGAGGCCTGATCAGTTGTCAGTTTTCTCAACAGACTTTACCTATAGGGGCATTTTTCAGTTCAATTTACCACCCCATGCACTTTTACACTGCAAAGCACATTCACAGACATACCCACATGTGTACCTAAAGGCACTTCAGCAGGCGGATTCGGGTTAACCGGCTGTTGAAGCACCAATGCCATGATTTGCAAAACGCTGCTCCTCCCCTGAATTACAGCAGCTAATTTGTTCCGTTAACCGACCTCATGATCAAAATAAAAACAATAACTCTATTTCTATTTCTTCCCTTGACCTCTCCAAATGATAAATAGTTCACATACATCTTTCCACCCCAAAAGACACACATAGGTGTCCAAAAACATTCTTTATGCTTAAAGCAATTTTAGGTTGGCACTCAAATAACTTCTTTTCCCATTCACTTTTGAACACCTTCTGTAATCATATCACAGAGGAGGTATCTTGCCTAATTTTCACTAATTAAATTAAAGTGTCGGCCCCCAGAGTTGTTCGTTGAACTTAATCAAAGGGTCACGGAAATTTAGAAAACTTTGTCTCATGAGACCGAAAAATTGAGATGTAATGACGCGGCCCACCCCCTCTGAAAACCTCCCAAATGTTTGACTAAAGGAAGGCCTGCCACTCTTCACATGCCAACAAAGTTTCATGTGGCGTCAAGCAAAATTTTAGCATGTAGTGATTTTAAAGCGAGCATTAGAAATGTCTTTGTGACGCATTCAAATTTGGTGCTGTGATGAAACGTAGTTATGAGGCTTTCTGGGACCAAAGTGTTTCAGTGAATGAACAGCAGATGCTCTAAATCTGTAAAAGAGGCCTGATATTTTCTTTGACATTTCAGCGCTGGGTATCAAGGAGCATTAAACAGCAACTGTGAGTCACAGCAAGAACAATTACAGTTAAAATCCGTAAATAAACTGAAAAGAATAAAGATTAACAGTGGCTTTGGCATAAATAAGTCATCTGAATGGTTGAGCTGTGACACAGATGCTGGTTTCTCCCTTCCGGGATGTGAATGACTTAAGCCAGCTTTAAGGTATAGATAGCTATTATAATTAGCTCAAAAAATCATTAGGCGGCTCATCATCGCAAACACAATGGGTGCATCACATTCTCCTCTCTTGTATTCGCAATTGTCTCCTAATAACTTTCTACGCTGTAATTAAGCAGGAGACATAAATATTACTGTGTAAGATGTTGCGGTTTAATATTGTCATGGGATACCATTTGTACTTATTTCAGTCCTGGGAAGGATGTAAGGTTTTTGATCATGTCCCGGTTTGCCAAAACCTTTTTCGCGTGACTGGTCATATTTTATACGGATCTCAAACCCATTTCACTCACATAAACAACAATACCCCGAATCAGCTCAAACCACCTTCAAAAGCGTCCCCTCCAAGAAGTGCTCGAGTCGATATTTTGAGTTTAACTCGTGAGGGATGAGGAGCAGAGCAGCTGGCTTAAAGAAGAATTACCTCCAGTATCTGATCCCCAATGAAGATCTTGCCACTCTGGCCCACGGGGCCCTCGGGTAAGATGGAACACAGATAGTGATGTCCTGCCCGAGCCTCCAGACTGATTCCCAGACCACTCGTCTCACTGAACCGCTCCAGCTGACACACCTAGAGCACACGGAAGCCAAATAATCGATAGAAAACCAGGAAACCAAGAGCTTTTTATCTTGTCAGAGTGGCAAATAAGGAAGGCGTTGGTCCCTCTTCACAACAGTTTTTTTTATGTGTTAATATCAATGCTAAAAATAATTTTTATACATAAAGTCTGGATTTTATTTGATTTGCTTGGTATATTCAGTCTTCATCTCTACAACTTGGGACATACAGTCACTTCATATCGGGGCCCGACTGCCTGCTGCCACCTCTTCCTCAGGTCCTCCTCTTCATCCGCAGTCAGTTTTACGCCTACAGAATGTGTGCACATAAAGAAAAAAAGTCCTGCTCACATCACACACATGCAAATATAGAACAAAATATATACGCACACATTAACACACACATGCTCACAATGTTTAAGCCCCTAACGGTCCAATCTATAAAGAACGAGGAACTGAGGGAAAGTGTCACCTTTATACTATTTTATGACACGACAACATAATTCTCCTTGTGGGAAACCAGAGTGTCAACACACAACCTCTTACACAGACAGAAACACACACACGCACACACACACATATGCACACACAGAGACACCGCAGGCAAATAAGCATGCATATTCACATCCACCATCTTGTGATTTCCTGGCAAAGTAATGTTTTCTCATTCATCTATTAAAGCCTTACAGCAATCAGGGCTTATTTAGGCTGCGCTCTCTAATCAGGCCCCAAAATTCATGTCTAAATAAAGCCATATATGCAGAGAGGGTTGGAGACAAATCATCTGGAATGAGCTGAATGAGTTAGATAAACACATGACTGCACAAACTATAAATAGAGGCCCATCAAAGAGTATGGTTCACTGGCACATTGCTGTTCTGTGATCCCAATCAGCATATCAGACAAAGTCCCATGATCCAAATCCGCCCCGCTGCGCTGCATGGGAAGCGGAGCCTACCGTCTCTGGAATCGTGTCGGGGTCGTCTGCTGGCATACGCGGCTCGCCGGGAGATCTCCCGCAGAGAGCAAATTCCTGAGAAACGGAAGGACAGGTTTTGAGGGCGCCACGTGTGCATCCGGAGGGAGGAACGCGAACACACGTGTTTATTGGGAATTTAAAAAAACAAGACTTTGGAGGGAGGCCACGAGCAAAAGGCCGATCAGGTCAACACTGGCCCAAAAAAATAATAATTTTAGACCCATCCCAAACAGCTCTGACTTGTTAAGGTTTACCTCAGCTTTGAGGAGAATGCATAAGTTTGGGTGACCACAGACCCCAACACACTTTCTATGTGACAACAACACTTGCGATAGCACAGTCCATCTTTCTGTTGTGAAGCACCTGTCTCTTGAATCTTGTTGAGGCCAGCCTTGTAGGGTTTGCCGGCCTGGAAGCTGTGAGAGTGCCGGAGAGGCTTCAGAGGAGCAGCTGGAGGCAGGACGTGACTCAGACACACCGCTCTTCTCAGCAGCCTCAGTCGGACCACGGGACCCGTCCTCCTGAGAACCTCCATTGCCCGTTGCTCGCTACAGCCCTGGAGGCTCACCCCGTCCACCTGAGGGACAAGGAGACAAGTGTGAGTCTGTGTATGATGGTGGAAAAAACAATGTGCAAAGTGTCGATATTAAAAGTCATATCGGCTCTCGAAACAGAAGATAGAAAGCACAAGTAAATGTTAGATGGTGGTTAAAAGAAATGTATAAGCTAGACAAGCATGACCAGAAGAAAATATCTCTGAGATTGCAACTAAAAAAGAGAGTGAAAAGGAAAAAAAAAGTTGTTTTTTTTTAGATGCTTACAGAGAGGATGACGTCCCCAATCTGCATCCGTCCATCTTGATCAACAGTACTGCCTTTAACAATGCCTTTTACCATCACACCTGCACTGTAGACTGAGCAGAGCCCAACAAACCAATTGCATGAGTGAATAATTAACATTGCAATTAACAATAAAACAACCAATTTAGCTGTTGTGCGCATACATACTGGAGTTTAGGTCTCCGACATAGCTGGAGATGGTAAATCCCAGACCTCGGCTGTTCTTAGTGAACTCCACGCTGAACTCGTAGTCATCGCCGGACTCGCCGAGCTGAAAAAGGCACAAGGAAACATCTCAGGCGTCAGAAAGTACCCTCTTCCACCTTTAATAGTTCATGGTAAATTGGGCTGTGTATTACAAAAAGCACACCCATGCTCGTACCTTGTCGTCCAAGCTGTCCTGGCTGAGAAGAGGAGAAGAAAGATGGTTGTCCTTGGTAACATCCCTGGCGATGAGCAGTTTCACCTTGTTTCCAGCATTTCGCAGCACCTGGGCCAGGTGGTCATTGGGAACAGAAGAATAAAAAATGTCCAGAAACACATAACATGGAAAATAAAATTTGTTAGTAACCAAATTCCCTTAAAAGACATTCACTGTGACACACACAACACTCATTTTTTATATCTGCTCCACCTCAGTTCCTTTATTTCTTTCTTTATTTATTTAAAGATTTTTTGGCTCTAGTGGCCTTTAATGACAGTAGGTTGACAGGAAAGGGGGCAGAGATAGAGAGGGGGAGACCTGCGGGAAAGGGCCGTGGGCCGGATTCGAACCCAGGACACCCGCTTATGAGCAGAGGCGCTGCACATGGGCCGCCCGCTCTAGCCATTAGGCTACGGCTGCGGCCCGGTTCCTTTATTTTTCAAATGCATGGCATGGCAATTGCTTTAAATGGGCTTTTTTCTTCATTTTTACCTGTCCAGCATAACTGACCATCTAAAAATCTTTAGACAAGCATGTCACACTAAAACTAGTATTATATCAGCTTGCCAACAGGCCAGTGTGAATTTTTCCACCAAATTTTCAACATTTCTGTTTTGAGGTATCATGACCTATGAAATCACACTGATAACATCATTCACTTGGATGACTTATGAGTATTTGGTGAGCAGGTTTGCCAACTTTTTCATCAAGAAGTGAATGAGACTGGGATGTGTATGCATGTGTAAAGATGACCAGAGGGGGTTGGCAACTGAAAATCCCTTTAATACTTAGTTTTATATGTGTATATACTGTGATATGTACTTATTGTATGCTTTGCCCTGAAGGTGTTTGTTTCTGTGTATGTCTTTTGTTCTTCCACAGATTTTGTGAATTTTATATTTAGTTTCTGGAATTATAACTCTAAGAATACATTGGGACTCTTGCTATCCCATGGTGCATTGTAGTTTAATTACTCTTTTCACGTTGACTGTAACTGATTCCATCTTCTTTTTCAACTGTCCAATTTCACGCGATCTGTTCTTCCAGACCTTTTTTCCTATCTCTCTTAATCAAATTTTTCATTTTTGTCTTTTATCATTAATATCATTATTACTATGACGATGATTATCATATCATTGTGTATCCTAGCTTCCGATTCATTCATCAATATTACACAAAGAAATCAAAGAATATGAACACAACTGGGCTTTAAATCTTTAGTTGGCCTCACTTCTCTCCATTTGCTCATAATTTTGTTTTGTGAGCAGTTATTTATTTTGAGTTGTGTGCGCACACACACACACACACACACACACACACACACACACACACACACACAC